ACAGACAAGGGCAAAGCCAATCAGCCTTAATTGGAAACATAAACACTATTGTCTTCATTCCAAGGCTTTATACACAAATTCTGAGTTCTGGAAACCTGATTTCCTATTATTTGAAAGCACATTTCCCTGAAAACGCCACCTGAAGTAGCCGGCTGACAAGCTGGGACAAGATGGGAAAGGCGTTAGTCGTGGGTCTCGGGAGTGGACGCGGTCATGAGCGGGGCCAGTCACTGCGTCATCTCCGTCGGTGGCTGTGACTCAGGGCCACGGGGACACGGGCGGGCAGCGGGGCCTGCGGTCCCCCAGTGGGCAGTGGGCACTGACACGAGGTGGGACTTGAACCGAAGGCAAACCAGCAGGCGCAGGCAGTGAGCTCTCTGCACGCTCAGGCCGCTCAGGGCAAAGCGCCCCCCGCCCCCCAGGAGGCCACTCCGAGGTGTCGGCATCTCGTCTGACAGCTTTGGAACCAGTGCCAGCGTCGCCCAGCGGAGGGTCTGGTTCTGACGCCTGCCTTCCCTTGGCTAGGCCTGTGCTGAGCCGGTCCGGGGTCTCCTGCCTCCTCCTCACTGGTGCGTCCTCGGCACCAGGAGCGCCTGTGCGGGCCCAGCTGGCTTCCCTCCCGTCTGCCTGCGGGGCGAGGCTCCTCACAGGACCCTCTGTGCACGGCCAGGGGCCGGGGGCCACGGGCACGTGGCTGGAAGCTGCACACACGTGTGTATGTAGTGATACCCGATGGGCCACTGTGCGTGCGTCCTCAGTGCTGTGCGGACCGCGCATCCATCCACCACTGACGGTGCAGATCTGCTGCTGGCCTGATGGACTCGGCGCCCACACGGACACCAGGCTTCCTGCGCTTCTCCTGATGGGGTGAGCTCTCCGCCGCTCGCAGCTCACGCAGAGCCCGGTGCTGGTCCTGAGGGGCTGCCCTGGGGCCGGAGCCTCCGTAACTGTTGCTCTTCCCTGGACTTTGCTGATGGTGCCCCCGGATTTGCAGGGGACGGGGCAGCGGGGCCTCAGCCCAGAGGGTGTCACCAGCCCCAGCCCCAGCCCCAGCCCGCTGCACCCCCGAGGGCAACCCCCAGAGAATTCCAGGAGCAGACGGGGCAGGAGGCGCCGATGGCCAGGCGAGTCACCTGAGGGCTGTCCGTCCAGTGGCCAGTCTCAGGGCTGTTTCCTGAGCTGACCTGCTCCTCAGGCTGCCCCAGCCCCTCCTCCGTCCCCTCAGTGCCCGTGCCTGTCCTTGCTGGGCCCTGGGCCTCAGCCCCTGCGCTCCCTGACGGGTCGTCCTCTGGAGGGGCACCTCTCCCAGCACAGCTGTGTCCTAGCAGCCCTCTGGGACGGGTCCCTCTGCAAGGCCAGCTCCCGCCTCTCCGCCTCCCCGTCCCCGCTGGGCCACACGGCCTGCAGCCGGAAGCGCGCCCTCCCAGTGGACCCCCCCTTGTCCCCAAGTCTGTCACGACACAGGGCCAGTCTGCCCTGCGCCCGCAGGACCTCGGCCAGGGCCCCACCCCAGCAGCCCTGCCTCTGGGCCACAGGCTCCGCCTCGTCCGCATCCTCAGTGTCTCTCCATCCTACCCAGAGGCCTGTCCTCTGTCCTCAGGGACCCAAGAGGTCTGAGAGCTCAGTGGTGAGTGCAGATCACATCACACCCTGGGTGCCTCTCAGTGAGCTCCTGCCTGAGACCCAGGGGCCAGGATTAAGTTACCGAGCGGCGTGGCCGGGAGAGCATCGCCAGCAGGAGCGCGCAGAAGCCAACGCAAGAAGCCAAGGGCTCAGGGGCTCCCAAACCTCGCGGGGGCGCAGGACCCACTGGCCTGTGCTTCCCTGAGCTCTCAGTCGGGTGAGGTGCAAACAGGCTGCAGGCGGCCCCACAACACCCGGCCCAGGCCTCCCAGCGGGTCCCTGCGAGGGCGCAGCGCCATCTGGTGGCGGCTCGGGGAAAAGCCGCACGTTGGTCTCTGCCTGGGCGCGAGGGAGCTTCAGGGAGCTTCTGGGAGGCAGTTCTGAAACCGAGGCCCAGAGGCCCACGCAAACCTCTGACCGACGCTCTGGGCGTGGACTGCAAAGCCACAGAACCGCAGGCCCGGCCGTCCTGTCCTGGGCAACATTAACCGTCCTGCGCCTCCTGCCTGGCCCAGGCGGCTGCTCTGGGCGGAACCCAGGGGCCTGGGAGAGGCGGGGACGCGGGGCCTTCCCCTGGGCACTGCCCTGAAGGGCCTTCCCTCGGGAGACGCCACAGCTCCAACAGCTGGCCAGCGAAGTCCCAGGGTGTGCGGCTGCCGTGGGAGGAAGGAAGCATCTGAGAGCACTTTCAGTGCCAGGGAAGTGGGGAGAGGGTGAGCACCCCAGACAGGCCCCGTGTGCTCAGCGCCCAGGACACGCACCCAGGTGCACGCAGCCTCCTTTGCACGACGGCCATGACCTGCCTCACCGTCTGTTCTCTCCCCGCCTCCCCGCCAGATGACACCCTCAGTGGAGGAGGCCCAGGCTCCCGGGTCCAGGAAAGGGGGCTGAGTCGCAGGAGCCGCTCCTCATCGGGGACAAGAGGGAACCTGGAGATGGACCTCTCGTGCCGGGCGTTGGGGCAGCAGGATGGGGCCGGCCCTGC